AGGGTTAGCAACAGGGAAGTGGGAGGAGGAGAGAGGGGGAAAAGATATAAAGAATAAGTAGCATAGACAATAGATAAGAAATAGACAGGGGGAGGACAAGAATAGTATGGCAAATGTAGAAGCTAAAGAATTTATGACACATGGACATGAACTAAAGTGGGGGAATGAGGGTGGGAGGGGGTGGGCAGGGTGGAGGGGAGTGAAGGGGGAAAATGGGACAACTGTAATAGCATAATCAATAAAGTATATTAAAAAAAAAGAAAAAAAAGAGATGCTACCCTGTGACAATAACACTGTAAGCCGGTAGATGGATAGCACTGCTACAGGGAAGACAATTCATGCCCCAGGCATGCGCTCACAGGGAGGAAGAAGTGCTGTCCCTGCATGTGGAAGTGGCCTGATGTAGAGCACTATCCTCCATGTGGGGTGAGTGGTTTCATGAGTGATGTCAGGGATGAGGGCTCAACCCTGTTCTCTGCTATGACAGCAGCACACACAGCAGAGGCAGCTAAGGGAGAGGGAGCTGTGCTGTGGGGTCCACACACAGACTCTGTCCCTACCACCATGTCTACTTTGTTCATGTTCTCTCGGGCAAGTATTGGTGCACCAATGCTCACAACAATGAAACCACCCACTGATGCATTTCTCAGAATGTACTCCCACCATTTGTGATGCATGACTGTATTTATAGCATTCACATAGCATTAGGTATTGTAAGTAATCCAGGGATGATTTAAAGTATATGGGAGTATGTACGTAGATTATATGCAAATGCGACACCATTTTATATGGGACTTGAGCATCTGCAGATTTTGGTGGCACAGGGGTGCAGGAACCAATCACCCAAGGGATTCCTTTGGGTGCTAAGGGATGACTGTACTCTTCTGTTTGACCCTCATACCCATAGCCAAGATCTAGTGTCTTGGCTAGACAATGTCTAGCCAAGTAGAACACATGTTTGAAGATATAATAAGAGATAAAGGCATGCATTCTCTTTGAGGGATCTTATACAGAAAAGAGATGATGGACACTAGAAGCATCTTTAAAAAGTGACACAGATAAAACTAATGAGAAATGAATGCAAATGTCCATATATTTCACAGAACGTGTGTTCCACTAAAAGAATATAATATATTTAAAATATACAGGATAAGTACTCTAGACCTAACCCAAACAATAAAGATCTAGCTAGAAAGGTTAGAGACAGGGGCCTTGGTGAAGGGGAAGGTGGGGGTGTAGGGGGTGAGCATCTTCAAGTTCATGCAGGCACCAGGGAATTGCTGTCCTTAGTCAGAAGTGCATCCCACATGGTGGGGAAAACCATGCAGAGACTGGAGTAAAATGAATGTGATGTTTCAGTACAGAATAGCAGGAGACAGTTTGTCTAATGCTGGGAGAAATTTCTTGGCAGTGCCGTTCAGACTAATACAAGTGATCCCAATGCAGAGAAGATGCCAGGGGCTTAGGGGGATTGGATGTTAACCTAAGGAAGCCCTGTTTATGGGAGATGTTAGCAAGTACGAAAGGCTACCATGGAGGCAGGAACTCACATCACTGTAGGCATCTACACGTCCACTAAACAACCAGTTCGCAGATACTGAGATGTTGTATCAAGGGTTTTTCAGTTTCAGGAGCTCAATTTTGTCAGAGAACTTCTAGGGTCTCTGCATTCCTGAGTGTCTGTAAGATCCCCAAATATCTGTCTTGTTCAGTCAGTACCATTAGTTGAATGATTGCTGACACTGTCATTCTCTGAAGTCCATAACATTCAAAGGCATAGCATTTTTAGAGAAAAATACAGGCATCTTATGAAATAAGTTAACCATTCAATCAGGGTATAAAAGGGAGCTGTCTTTCCATTACCTTAACAAACATACCAGAGCTGAACTTCACTCTCAGGGGTTTAAAAAAATGATCTTATTTACATAGGAAGGGTGAGCCCACGTCTCAGGGAATAACACCTTTATTCAAGCCCATAAAACTAACATGACAATTTAGTAGTTACAGTATTAAATGTAATACTGAAGACCTCATAAGTCTGTGGGGCCAGTTGTTTCCCTGTGCATGCATACCTGAAAAAAACTCAGCTATCAACCAGAAAGGTGTATTTTCTGAACAAGGAGGCAGAAGAGCTAGGTTAGAAGCACAGGAAGTTTTGTGGCATCTCAGGCATTCATGATGAAAATCTGACCTTGCTTAAGGAACTGAAAGACACCTGTGCAGGGTCCCTCTCCCCTGTGCACCAAGTGGCCGTGCTGTGCACCCTCGGAAAAAGAGTGTCTCCTTGACCTCTCTGAATTTCCAAGGTCAAACGCCTCACCCCCTTATACATTCATTTCTACAAAATCTTCAACTAGGATTAAGTTATTTCTGCTAGCGTTCAAGGCATTCTTTCTCTTGAAGGTACCTCAGTGTAATTTTGCTCTGCTCCCCTCCTTTTTGGGGTGACTTTATAATTCTTTCCAGGATACTCTTATAGCCATTGTTTTATGGTTCTTTTGACATCCCTGAGGCAAACTCAAGTGTGATATTTCTGACATATCAGTGCACTCTTCCTTTTCAATCATTTCTGCTGTAACACTTAGGAGCCAATAATATATGTCATAAAAGTACAGATCATGTACCATGGAAATGTATACTTGAAACCCATGTAATCTTATTAATGAATGTCACCCCAATAGGTTTAATTGAAAGTATTTTTAAAAGTCTATTTTTAGGTACTGTAGGGTTTCTTCTCCAATACCTTTCCAACTATAATTACAAAACTGAGTGAAGTAGGTCTCTCTTAGAGAGTTGCATAGGCTTTTACCTTTAATGTGTTTATCGGTCATGTGATAATTCGGTGTCATCAGCTTGTTACTTCTGATCCATAACTCATACTCCCCCCACAAGTATCTCTTCAATGAGTCGTGCTGATGCTTACATATTCCATAGTAATTTTCTGTTCCTACAATGTGAGTTGAGGGTTAAAGACAATTTCTCACTTAAATTCTCAAGAACAATACAGTATTGTTATGAAAACAACCAATTAGTAATTTCAGAAAATTAGAAATTTGGTCCCTCTGTCCAAAGTTGATAACAAATCTCAGCAATTGGGTTCCAAAAGTCTCCTTGGAATCCCTCCATGGCGTGTGTGTCTGAAAGCGACCTGTGGGCTACTCTAGTGCACTGCTTAAAAGAGAAGCCCCGCCCCCCGAGCCCTACCCCACAGGGGCACTGCTGGTTAACCTCATGGATCATGAAGTGCCTGGGAAATCCAGCACAGGGAGTCATATAGGTTCAAACTGGGTCACAGCAAGTGGGGAGGGTACTGCTATACTCAGGATTGAGTTAATTATTCATTTGATTTTTTTATTGTTATTCTATTACAGTTGTCCCAGTTTTTCCCCCTTTGTCCTACCCCCCACCCATCCCATGCCCCACTCCTACAGTCTGTCCCCACACTGTTGCCCATGTCCATGGGTCACTCATACACGTTCTTTGACTAGTCCCTTTGCTTCTTTCCATCGTTATCCCCTCCCTTCTCCCTTCTGATCACTGTCAGCCTGTTCCATGTGTCTAGGCCTGTGGTTCTATTTTGTTTGTTAGTTTATTTTGTTGATTCCAGTCCTCTCATAGGTGAGATCTTATGATATTTGTCTTTCATTGACTGGCTTATTTCACTTAGCATAATGCTCTCTATTTCCATCCACGCTGTTGCAAAAGGTAGGAGCTCCTTCTTTCTCTCTTCTGTGTGGTGTTCCATTGTGTAAATATAGCACAGTTTTTTAATCCATTCATATACTGTGAGACACTTAGGTTGTTTCCAACACTTGGCTATTGTAAATAGCACTGCTATAAACATAGGGGTGCAAATCTGCTTTCTCAACTTCTTTAAATAAGTCAACCCTCAAATGGTTTAAAGAAGGTGGAGAAAGCAGTTAGGGACCAAAGGACAACACTGTAGGATGCAGTAAGAGCATGCATTATAGACACAACATAAGTAAATCCAAAACAGCGCCATGTACATTTGATTGTGATCACGTTGAACTGTTTACAGAAACACAAGGTTGGTTTAACATTTGAATATGAATCAATGTTTTTGTATCACATTTACTGAAGACAGAAAAATCATATTATCTCAGTAGGGAAAGAAAAGGCATTTTATGAATTCCAACATATTGATAATATAAAATGCCTTAGCAAATAGGGATAGAAAAAGCCCTGTTCTTCTGATAGAAAAAGTCTACAAAAAAGACAGGAAACTTACTATTTAAGTATGAAAAATGGAGAACTCTCTGTACTCTACAGAGAATACAAAAAGACATCCACTTTACCACACTATTCAATATTGGACTGTAGCCCAGGGCCTACCACTGGACTAAAGAAGGAAAAAATTTACAAGATAAAAAGGATGTTAAGAAGTGAATACAGCTACCATCACCTGTAGATGATATGACTATGTAGGTGAAATTTCCACCAAAAATTTATTGGTAAACTATTAAAGTAATAAGGGAATTTGGTGGCAAGATCAATTCACATAGGAATGAATTGTTGCTGTATATGTCAGAAACAGTTCAAAATAAAGAGTTATGTTCCACTACATGTAAGAGCATAAAAATAAAATATCTAGGAAAAATCTAACAAAAGACAGGCAACACCTCTGCAGAAGAGAATAGTCTGACCAAGAAATTCTATGAGCAACATGCTCCTACGTGTGTATACACCCACAAGAAACACCTGTCTTTGTTCACCAAATGACCTACAAATGAATACAAAAAATTCATAGAAGCACTATTTTTAGTAGTTCCAAACTATAAAAAATCTATGTTTCTCAAAGAGACAGTCAACAAATAAATTGCATCATATTCACTCAGTGGAAGATTATATAGCAACAACAATGAAAACCTCCAAATAATTACATTGTCAAATCTCACAATTATAATGTAGAGAAGAACCAACTCTATAGTCCTTCATTTACATAAGGTCCAAAAGACGGAAGCTGACTTTCAGGGTTACAGTCAACAGAACCATTGGTGAGCTTTGGGGATGAGTGTGGGGTTATAATTTGAAGGGAGTGGGGTTAATGTCTATTTCTTAATCTGATAGTATTATCATGGACGTGTTCATTTTCTAATACTGTATTAAGTTGGAAATTAATAATTCACATACTTTTAATGAATGGTATATCTAAAAAATAGTTTAAACAAGTAGTCAGAGCCAAAGATAAATCAGGTATCATCTCAACTAATCCAGTTCCCTCATGGAGAGAAGGAGGAGGGGAAAGAGAGAAAGAGAGAGAGAGAGAATGAACTAAATGTGTCATTAGTGACTTGAGGTCAGTGACTTTGCTGGTGAACAAGGGTCGTACTAGAGTCACCTGCTCTTCCCAGTTTTCCCAGAATTGCCCAAGTTGTAGGACTGAAAGTCCCAAGTCCCGGGAAACCCCTTTGTCCTGGGTAATCAGGACCAGTGGTCACCCAGGAAGTGAAATGACTGGTGCTTTCAGTCCCCGCTTCAGCTCCTGCCCGCCTGCCCAGGGTCTGCAGTGCACACTCGGCGAGATAATGCCAGACATCCTCCACTCAGTGTCTGGGACAGACCTGGGATACACAGGTGGGGTGGTTGCTCCAGAGGGACGTTTGTCATTGTCATTGGTATGACCGGGCCTTTGTGGGGAAACAGACTTGGACTCAGGCATGGATTCAGTTTGTCCCTGTGAACATATCTGCAGCATGTGCCTCACCACAGGGATATGTCCCAACCTCAGTCACCAAAGAGACAAAGCAGGGGAGGGCACGTATCCTCCTCAAAGCAGGAACAGTGCTGGTGATGACACCACCTTCCTTCTATCTGAAGACAGTTCTATGAATTATTCTCAATTAAGAAACATATTAGACAGGTTTCTAAAGATTCATATCATTAAGGGAGCAACTTCCTCCTTGGCTATTTCCCTGTGATTACCAAAACAACATAAACAAAAGCAAAGAGGGTCATGCTCATTGGTCCCAACATTGGGGGGTCCAGTGTATAAAAACCCCAGAACATAAGAAGTCATCAGAATCAGAGAAACTCACCTCTGAACACAAACTCCCCTTTGAGCAGAAACTCACCTTTGATCCCTGACGCCATGTGCTGCTCCCCTTGTTGCCAGCCCACCTGCTGTGGGTCCAGCTGTGGTGGGTCCAGCTGCTGCTGCCAGCCTTGCTGCCGCCCAACCTGCTGTCAGACCACCTGCTGCAGGACCACCTGCTGCCAGCCTTGCTGCCGCCCTTGCTGTGTGTCCAGCTGCTGCCAGCCTTGCTGCCGCCCTTGCTGTGTGAGCAGCTGCTGCCAGCCTTGCTGCCGCCCTTGCTGTGTGTCCAGCTGCTGCCAGCCTTGCTGCCGCCCAACCTGCTGTCAGACCACCTGCTGTAGGACCACCTGCTGCCAGCCATGCTGCCGCCCTTGCTGTGTGAGTAGCTGCTGCCAGCCATGCTGCCGCCCTTGCTGTGTGAGTAGCTGCTGCCAGCCTTGCTGCCGCCCTTGCTGTGTGTCCAGCTGCTGCCAGCCTTGCTGCTGCTGATTGCTCTGCCTTAAGAACCACCATGTGTACACGACACCTGTTAACTTACTTGCAATTTTGGGAATGAATTTAGTTCAAACATTGCTAAGAGCCAGCATGTGGTCACTAAAATTTTTTTGTGACTCATCCACCTATTTAAAAGCTGCGAATCAGCTTGACAGAGTGCAGAGCACATCACCTTAATTCTTTTCTGGTGTCCTGGGGCTCATGTGCCAGCTTCCTTCATCCTTGAGATGGAGCGCATCCTCTGAGTAACATAGGGAAACAAATTCTCCTAACTTTTCCTTGGGTTTCTGCTACTGATCTTAGTCTTCACAATCATGTTTCTTTCTCAGTGTACTCATGATTCTTACAACCTGCTTTTTACATTTTCATTATCACTGTGACTTGTTTCTGTGGATGCAGATATTCTTACCTGTATTTCTTAATAAATCCTTTGCCATTATTCAACCCAAGTTGTGTTCTGGTTTATTAGGGAGCACTCCTGATACGGAGACCTCTGTCACTTACTGCACACCACATGCATTTCCATTCTGAGCCTCATGAAAGCCTCCCCCGGGTTACATTTTCCATTCATTCAGATGAGAACATTTCTCTGTGTGATGGGCTGACTCAGGGAGAAGACCGCATCTCCTGCCCCTCCCAGGGGCACTTATATGGACCCATCAGGACAAGTGGAGATGAAACTGGGACTGAACACTAGCAACATGTGTACCTGAGTTTCTTCTCTAATGGCGGGAGGAGCACTCTCTTACACATGCATATAGCGCTTGTGCTTGCAGAGCTCTTCCCAAAGCAGGGTCCCACACCTTGGGAGCGGCTGCCGTTTCCATGGGGACTGTGGAGAGCTTCAGTTAGGGGCCCGGTGGCTGGGTGTGAGAGCTCTCATGAATGCAGGGAACTGCCTTTGTCCCAGCCCCTCCTGCAACCCACCTGCATCAGATAACGTTGAGCACCCATTGCGTGTCCTCACAAGAGAGGCTCGTTCATCAGGACTTGTTCTTGGCATCGTGTAAATCAAATTCTTGTATGGGCTCCTTCTCCGGAGTACCTGTTTTAGAGAAAAGAAGGAATTAAGTAATTCCCTGAAAAACATAGACCCTATATTGTGGCCCTGACCTTGAAGCCACTTGCTTCAGGTAATTTTCATGAGGACAGATGTTACTGTACGAAGGGCTCAATATCAGCCCCTCCTGCTGGGAAAACAGCACACTCAGTAGAGGCAGCCCTGGTGAGAAAGAGCTCGTGCAAAGCCCCCATCCCTGCCACCGTAACGACGCGGTCTGTGGTCTGTCTGCGAGTCCTGGAGCACCCGAGGAGGGGGGTGGGGTGAATTATTTGAAACTCCTGGCCATCCGCTGTCTGCTCTGCAGTGGGCACTGATGTGGGACACAAAGAGGGAACGCTTTCTGTCCACACACCTCGTTACCTCTACATGATTTTTCCCCAACTCTGCATCTCTGATCTTTCCTCTCACTCCTTCAGACCTCAGACCCACCCGCCCAGCTCCTCACCACACGCCCACAGCCCACCAACGCCATTTCCTTGTCTGCTTTTCCTCTCGGCCAAACCTATAACCAGGCGCACTGGTTGTGGTTTTTTTCACTGGGCGTGTTTTCACTTTCCACTCCCTTTTCAGGCCAGAAGATGTTGACCTGTTTTAGTGAAAATTCCATTTGTGTATAATAATCATTATTGGGGCTCCCACTCGGCAAAATGTAAGGCATTTCATGATCATACATCATGTTCCTTTAGGTTTCTGCAGGAATGAATGGAGTCTTAAACAAATCACATATTCTTTAGTTGTTTAGGTCAGGACTAAACTCTGGAGGTGCTGTCGCTAAGTGCCTTTGTCCGGATGTCTACTTTGTAACTTTGAGATACAACTTATGTTAAGTGGAGGGTACAGGCATAAACAAAAGAGGCAAAACCCACTTACTGAGGAAAAAGCAAAAGCAAATGAACTATCCTTTACTATTAAGGCTTATGACTAATATTTTTGTGAGAACCCTTGGAAATATGAGAAGTATGATCTCTGCAAGAAGGTATCTGTCTACAGACTGGCTGATAAAAGAAAGGAAGGGAAAAAGAGAAAGAAACAATTCCAGACTAATCCAGGGGTGGACGTCCTATTTAAGATGGAAGTGGGAAGAAATATACAAAAGGAGGATGAAAATATGTATTGAGAAACAGTCATGAGGGCGCATAAATATATCTTATATTTTCCCCAAACACACAGCAAGTGAGTTGCTGAACTGATGCAGACCCCAGCTCATGGAGTCCGCCACATTGTGGATGAGACATGAGACATTCACACAGACTACCGAGTCCAGTGGAGGAGAAAGGACAGCATGGCTTTTCTCTCAAGGGGAGCAAAAACCATGGCCCTTGCCATGACAGGCCTTTATTGGGTTCCTCGGCACATTACATGATGGTCCTCATTTACTATGCACAGGTTGGTTTTAGGTGGTTACCTTTTACAGAAAACAAAGGAGCTGATGCTGCTAATCATGTCACAGAGGAAGGATATTTGCAAATGAAAAGGGAAAAGTGATTGAACTGGTTACACTCGTCCTCGGAAGGTTTAGCATGGATTTTAGGAAGTTACTTTGCAGTAAACATTTGCTGTCTCAATTCAGGGTGAGGGAGTTTTAGCAAAAGCAAGTCTCAAAGCTGCCTAGGTACATTGCAGGCCTGATTCCCCACGGGAGAACCTATCAATGGGTGTGGGTTCTGTGCATCTCCAAGTGGGAGCTGGGCGCATGCCACACAGCGGCCTCCTACACAGAACAGGAATTGGAGGACTCCTCCATACGATTCTAATTCCCACAACCAAGATCTATCATCTTCTTATCCACAATTAAGAACTTGTGGTTGAAGATCAAGTTGGAGATGAACAGATGCACAGTCTCGGAGGGAACTTAGCACAGACAGTTCAGGATGCTAACTGGCAGCGTCTGCACAAAACTGGCTCACACATAAGGAGGTTCTGTAACGGGGTCCGGGTGGCAGCTAGAAGCTCTGTAGAACTTTTTCCTATGCTTCTTTCTAGAAGTTCCCTAGTTTTAGGCTTTATATTTCCATATGTGACCCGTTTTGTAGAAGATGTGAAAGACAGGCCCAACTGCTTGTTTCGTACATGGACACATAGCCGCTCCAGCTCCATTTGTTCAGAAGACCACGCTTTCTCTGCATATGCATTTGACAGCTTGCTCACAAACCAGCGCAGGATCGATGCGTGACTGTGCTTCTGGATGCTCAGTTTTGTCCCATTGATCTGTCTCTTTAACATTTCACCAGTTCGCTCCCCAGAGCAGCTTTAAGTTGGAAGTCAGATGGTGTTTTCCTGTTCATGAAATTTCATGCAGGTAACTTTGCTTTCCTCAACACTGATTTCCTCAGTGTGTGGGGGCAGTAATGCCCACTTTTTGGGACTGTATGAGAATGAGAGATAATGTAGATAAAACATCTAGCTCAATACTCAGCCCGTGGTAGGACTTCTATAAGTGTTCATAATTCTTCCCATCTATTTGCCATGCTGGAAAATTTAGTGACCTGGCAGAGTCCCAGATCCATCCTCTAGAGAGATCACACTTTGTGTCACATCTAGTGTGTTAACTGTCCCTAAACATCTTCGCATCTCTTAAGAGGGTGACCATTATAAAAACTTCTCTTTCTCCCCGACCTGTAGTAGCCCTGGATAGCTAACACAGTGGTCCTCTTTATTATTCAGTTTTTCATCCAAACATTCAGGTTTCTACACTTGGAAACCAACCTAATGCTCATCTTGACTTTGAACCTAATGCCCATCCTTCCTTCTTATTTCTCCTTCCTGCTTTTTCCTGAGAAGTCTGGTTTTTATTTCCCTTAGTTTATGAGTCTGTATCTCAGAGAACACGGGGAAGTTGTACTGTTCCCTTTTATGGCCTAGAGATTATGATTGGATCTAAGGGTTATATGCTCATGGCACAGTTACCTCAATTCTCATGACTCTAGACATTCATGTTCCCTGAACAAGGTCAGGAGATCAAATTGCCTCAAAGTTTGGGAACCTGGGATATACAGCCTGAGCTTGTAGGCCTCACAAGTGTGAATCTTACTCCCAATTTCTGTTGAGATCAATGAAATAATACCAATGCCAATTCTGTGACGTCAAAGAACAGGATCCTCTAGGCAAGGGGAGGGCCAGGAGCATCAGCCACACCCACGTGACTTTCTGATGACAAATGCTGCCAGTCACAGACCAGAACCCAGAGAAGTTGTCAGGCTGCCATCACTAGCTAAAGCTCTTACAGCCATCTCTGCTGGTCACAGAGGTGGGGAGAGTGTTTGGGAAGAGCTCTGTAGAGAGGAAAGGGTTCTGTACACAAAAGGGGTAATTATTTCCATTGTTGGAGAAGCAACTCAAAATACATACCTTCCTTATGCCCAGTGGCCAGTGTTGTTCTACCTGGAGAAAGGTGTAAATGAAAGTTTCCTTCCCCTGGAATCAAAAGGCCTATGTGTGCATAGGACCTGGTGTGTCAGTTCTGAGTTGCACAGCACATCAGTCTCTGATCACGAGAAGGAGAGCAATAACGGGACGATAACCTCTGCTCTGCCTAGCCTGTAGGGCCATGGTGAGACTTGAATCAGATAAAGCGTATAAAATGTGACTCAGAAGCAAGGCTTCCCAAAGAAAGTGCTGCTTACACACACACAACATGGCACAGGGTACGAGGTAGTGCAGACTTCACTAGGAAAGGGCAGGAAGGAAGACGATTCAAACCAACTGGGAAGAGTTTGGTGACCCAGCAGAAATGACTAAATACAATGCACACATCTAAAAAGATGATTAATAATGATCGTTGTGGAGTGCTAAATATATAGTCTAATAATTTGTTTACGTGCCCCAGAGGCAAGAGGTGATGATGACTTTGGTTGGGTCTGAGACCATGAATTCAGGTGAAAATCAGACAGAGCTGACCAGCCCACAGACCACGAGGAAATGAGGAAGAATGAAGTCAAAAGGAAACAGTCCGCATCCCCTCAGCAGGGCCCAAGAACTGTCGGAAGAAGACGACAACAAAGCTGTGTGAGCACGTTGTTTCTCAGCAAATGCAGGAAGCAAACTTCTTGCAGGAACAGAAGTTTTGGCTAAGTGGTCGAAGAAAGAGGTCTCTGGTGGGCAAGGCTGGCAGCAGCTGGACACACAGCAAGGGTGGTGGCAGCAGCTGGGCCAGCAACAGGTGGTCCCACAGCAGGTTGGGTGGCAGCAAGGCTGGCAGCCACAGGACTCGCCACAGGTTTGTGCACAGCAGCTGGACCCATGGCAAGGGCTGCCACAGCAGCTGGGTCTGCAACAGGTGGCCCCATAGCAGCTTTGGCAGCAGCAAGGCTGGCAACAACTGGACCCACAATAGCTGGACCCACAACTGGTGGGCCGACAGCAGGTGGTCTTACAGCAAGTAAGCTGACAGCAAGGGGGACAGCAAGAGTGGATCATGGTGTCAGGTATATAAAAGGTGGACTCTGAGCAGGAAAATTCTCAGAATGTGAAATCTTCTCTGTTAGACCTTTCGCACACCCCAAATTTGGGACCAATGAACAAAATTTTACTGGCTATTATTTATGACGTTATTTTCATGACCCGAAGATAATTGCCCAAGGAGGAAGCATTCCCTAAGTATTATGAATCTTCTGAAAATAAATGGCAGGACTGTTCTAGTGAACAGATAACCTATTAGAACTTATTTCTGGACATGGGAGAGATAGCCAACATCAAAAGAATTATTAACTATGAGTCATCATTTTTTAAAGACAGAGTATACCCTCTGGTCATTTGCTAGTTCAAGCTACTTTGGAGAAGAGGACAGAGCCATTGTTACCACCTTTTCCCCTTGGTGCTGCTTACACTGGAAGGCATCTCTGAAGACGGAGCACGCCGCTGATAAAACAGATGATCACGAGTACGAATCACATTTTAACACATTTTGAATAAAAACCATGTTTTAACAAAATTTTTATTGGTGTCGCACAAAATTCACATGCTGAACAGAGCACTACTACCAATAGGAATCAGAAAAGACAGGAAGAAATATGCCAAAACGCCATACTTGAGGTTCCTTTTCTGACTCACTAATCTAGAGCCGTATCCTTTCTTAATGCTCGAGACCCGTTCATAGAGCTGGGGAGTGGGCTGCTGCCTCCTATGCTCCAAGGGTCCCTCAGAACATCATTCTCAGTGGGAATTATTTCCCATCGACTTTCCACATCTGCAGTCCCATTGGCTCTGTGTCCTGAATGCATGACTCGCAGCTTAGGCCTCCGCTGAGTCACAGAAAAAAGAAGCACATGGACACTTAGTAACAGTCAGTCTCACCCCAGCCAATTGGAGGAGAGAGCTGCAGTCCTGAATATTACATGATACACATAAGGAAGAGACATGAGTTGAGCTGAAGGAAAGATTAGAGAAGAGACATAATAGAAAGGAAAAATGCATTCTATCTAATTTTGCAGGAAACATGGTTATAATGATCTAATTGAATAATTATTTACCTGTTAAATAAACAATAACAAGGAAGAAGCTGCCCCAACAGGGTATAAAAGGGGACCTGAGCAAGGAGATTCAGGAAACTCACTCTCCTGGAAACTCACCCAGAACCTCCACCCTCTGACACCATGGTCAATTCTTGTGGCTCCGTCTGCTCTGACCAGGGCTGTGGCCAAGGCTGCTGCCAGGAGACCTGCTGCTGCCCTCCCACCTGCTGTCAGACCACCTGCTGCAGGACCACCTGCTGCCGCCCCAGCTGCTGTGGTTCTAGCTGCTGCCGCCCCAGCTGCTGCGTGTCCAGCTGCTGCCGCCCCACCTGCTGTGTGTCTAGCTGCTGCCGCCCCTCTTGCTGTGGCTCCAGCTGCTGTGGTTCCAGCTGCTGCCGCCCCACCTGCTGCATTTCTAGCTGCTGCCGCCCCTCTTGCTGTGGCTCCAGCTGCTGTGGTTCCAGCTGCTGCCGCCCCAGCTGCTGCCAGACTCCCTGCTGCCGCCCCAGCTGCTGTGTGTCCAGCTGCTGCCGCCCCAGCTGCTGTGGTTCCAGTTGTTGCAGGCCCAGCTGCTGTGTGTCCAGCTGCTGCCGTCCAGTCTGCTGCCAGACCACCTGCTGCCGTACCACCTGCTGCCGCCCAGTCTGCTGTGGATCCTCTTGTTGTTGAACTTGGTTTCTCACCTCCAGCCCTGAGTCAACTGCCAGTGGATCAGTCTTGTTCTCACTTCCTTTCTCCATAGCACCTGGTCCTATTCTGATCTGTTACTACCTTTATTAATCCCTGTCACCAAGTAACTATTTAAAAAGCGACAATTTAAACTAAATACCCCACAAAACCTCCAAGTTGGCATTCAGTCAGATGTCAAATGTCCACACTATTTCATAGGATAGTCTTGACCTTCACACTGAATTATGTGCGATAAAGTAACTATCCCTCAATAAACACTTACTCCCCTGGTATCAGAAACATTTGCGGCCCTTAATTATTTTTTTTCTAGTGTTGATTATGAGTTGGAGATAAGTTAGGGTATGTGTTAAGGGAACAAAGATACTGATTTTGCATATATCAGTCAAAGCCTATATTAGAGAAAATGCCAAATAATTAGTTTTTCTCCAACCAGATTGCCCACCTTGTCTACCATCAAGTTTATTGAGAGGAAATAAGAGCATCCTTTTTCCTAAACTGAATTATAAACCACTTAGCAAGATCCTCGCACTGCTGGGTTCCGGGAAGCTCGTGAGTTGAATGAGATGCAGTTCCCATCCCTCAGGTGAATCACACAGAAATCTCGAATTTAATAGAAAGAAATGGGTCAGGTAGGGTGTGCTGCTAACAGTGGTGAGAAGGAGGAATCTGTTCTACCGGAGAAGAGTAATATATCAACACTGAACACTGATTCCTAGGAATAAAATGTGTCGAGCCCCCAAGTTTAGAGGAATGTGTATAGCTCGCAGGCACGTAGGAGAAAATGAAGGAGAGGGGGGATGAGAGTGGAATGTTTATATTCTTATGAAGGCAATCTTTATGCAAAAGTTACCCCCAAAAAAACCCCAAATAGCCCCTGCTCCGGACTGTGGACTGGGAGCTAGGCCGTCTCCTTCCAACCGGAGTGTCTCCATGTTACCTGATTGATACTGAAATTTTGCAAGAGACATGGCTATAGTGAGCTCTAGGTGAGAAAGTCATTGAAAAAAGCTTTAAAAGGCTTGGGAATCAAGTAATTCACATCAATAGTAATAATGAGCAGGCAGTACTAAGAAGGAGGCAAAGTAGGAACATGTACAAGAGAAAGGCTACATATTAAAGCACTAGCACAAAACACTCCCCACAGCGCTGAGCAGGCAGAGGTCTCCAGTTCTTCACTGGCCTGTAGATTTTCGTGCCGTTCTACTGAAATGAGCATGAAGTCTTATGCAAATTAATACCACTTCGCCACCCATGTCCTGGACAGTACCCAGGGACCACCTGTATCAGAACAATTTGATACAATATTATTATTGTTATCATATAAAATGAAATTTTCTGCGGCCTTAGATTTACTACATCAGCCTCTCTGGGGGAGTAGGCTGGGAAGTCAGCATTGTTATCGAGTTCCCAGCGTAGCTTTAATCACACTGCTGTTCCTGAGCCACCGCCCACCTAGCTCTCCAAAGGCGCTCACCCGCTGCTCCACGAGCACGCCATGCTCTCCCACGCCTCTGTCCTTTGTGTGTGTCGGCATCTCTGGCTCAGGGTCACTCTCCACCTGTCCCTTTCTTATTCTTTAAGGTCCACGTCCCTTTGTGGCATCACTCTGAGACAATTAGTTACTTCTCCTACTAGGATGGAGTCCACAGCATTAGGCGCTCTACACGGAACAATTCTTCGTATGGTTACTATTTATTCATTCATTTCTCTACTTCTTCACCCTGAGTTTCTCAAACTCGTGCACGTGACTCACTCAACAACCACATGTGTAGAGCCAGCCCCTGGCCGTGCTATGAGCGAGGCGTGGAGGTCATGAGGAAGATCCACTAAAAGGGATGAAATGAAAACTGCCTTACGACCCAGCAATACCGCTTCTGGGTATATGTTTTTAATAAAACCCAAAACACTAATTTGAAAGAATATATGCAGAGCCCTGTGTTCACTGAAGCATTATTTACAATTGCCAAGACACGGAAGCAACCCAAGCGCCCATCAATAGATGAGTGGACAAAAAAGCCCTGGTACATTTATACAATGGCGTTTTACCTGGCGTTTCATAAGGATGAAATTTTACGATTTGTAAAAGCATGGATGGACTTAGAGGATATTATGCTAAGTGAAATAAGTCAGCCATAGAAGGACAAACACCCCATGATTTTACTTACAGGTATCTAAAGAGCAAAATAAGTGAACAAATAAAATAGAAATGGACTTGTAGACGCGGAGATTGGACTGATGGTGGCCAGAGGGACTGGGGTTGAGGGGCTGGGTGGAAAAGGTGAAGGGATTGCATACAAATTGGTAGTCACAAAATAGTCACGGGGCTATAAAGTCCAGCATAGGGAATATAATCAATAATATTGTAATACCTTTATGTAATACCAGGTAGGCACTTGAAATATTGGGGGGACTGCTTTGGAAAGTATACGATTGTCTAACCCCTGTGATGTATCGCTCCATCTAATACAAAATAGCGTTGAATGTAAGCTGTCATTGAAAAATAAAAGTAAAAACAAAACCACATGAAAAACACAAAAAGAATGGGCTTCCAGAATAATAGAAGTGGGCCACCTAAGGGAGGGTGGCGGTTTGGGTGAGGAGTGCCAGGAAGGGCTTGCTGGGGGAGGTGGCGACCCCTAGCCCTTAGGAAATAAGGCCGCGTGGAGTCCCTGCCTGGTCACTGGGGCGGGGCACAGGAGCTGTCAATCACTGTGTGCTGGGTGGGTCAGCGGTGGCCCTCTGTAGCTCTGCGGGACTCGGTGTGGGGTTCTCTCAAATCCAGCCAAGACCTTTTAAAGTTAACATCTCTGGCCAGCATGGAGCCTGTCTGCAAACATGGACCTGCTGCTGTGATCCCAGTTATGAGTCACGTGGGGCTCTTCTGGGCCCCAATCCAACCCCGGCGTGACCCTGTGCACCATCGGACATTGGAGGCGTGGGGTCACTGACTCGCTTTCGCTCTCAGGACTGTATCTATTTTAAGGGCCTGGCACGTTCCTGGGAATGTTGGTGTTGGGGCAATGACCCATTATTTGGGTGACACAGTCCCTGAACCATCAGAAAAGGAACAGAACAATGTCCTGAATGTCTCCTACACCTTTTAAATCTCTTGCTATGACTCTTACACAATAAAATCTCATGAATTTGAACAGCCCACTTGGGACCTGTGCATGCTAATTTTCCCTGGTCTGTACCCATATGAAATTTTGCATCTTCCATAAAATGATTGTTTGTAAGGCAGCATGAGAAGGTAAATATAATTAATTGCAAGAGATATATTTAGCTCAGAGTGGACCTACTTGGTGCCAATTACAAGTGAATCATATAAGCCTTGAACTTATCACTTATAAGTGTTCCTTAGCTACGATTCTCAATTATGATTTGAATGTATTAGGAATAAAAAAAGCTAAAAGTCATTATCTTTAAACATTCTAGCTAACTAAATTAGACCAATCTGCTTTCTTGTTTTTGGAATTAGTGAGATTTCATTATACTGTTTTTATGGAGACATGTTATACCTTAATATTTTATTATAAAAACATCTCTAACATTACTTAAATGTTTTCTCAGACTCCAAAAGCTTCTATTGAGTATTTGTTTACTGGGTGCCAAGGACTCTGCTTGGTGCTCGGGACCCAGAGAAGAGTGACGAGGCCACTGTGCCACAACATGGGGGGCTGAGCTCTGCGGCACCCCGAGGGAATGACACGAGATCCCTGTCCGAAGGAAGGAGAGGAGGTGTCATATACAGGGGGCCACAGGGCCAGGCCCTTGCTAGGCAGAAGATGTGGAGATTTCCCAGGGAGTGGGACAGCATTATAAAGGCCAGAGTCTGGAAAGTGTGGCTTGGACTTAGGGCAACGATTTTCAACCGGTGTGTCGCAAGAATTTTTAAAACATGCAGTACCTGACTATGTAGTCAGGAGCACTGCCCTTTGTTCCCTTAGATTGTCAAACAAAAATTAAATGGCAATACCCCCCACAATAACAGCCATCTGGTGTGAATAAATCAAAGTTATATCTATTTTTTGTTAGATCAGTAAAAATATATATTCTTGGCGTGCCGCAGAATTTCAGTAATTGGTTGATGTGTGCCCTGAGATGGAAAAGGTTGAGAATCGCTGACTCAGGGCAGTGAGGAAGATGGGAGAGGGACGATGATGAGGATGGGGTTGGGATGGCGGGGGCGTGAGGGGTGTTGGTGTCATGCTGGGGGGTTTGGGACACACCCGAAGGGGGCCAGGGAGTCCACGGTCTGTCACCCGAAGTCCCTGCTCTAAGTCTGCCTATGTCACATGAAGTATGGAGAAGCTGTCATGACGAGCAACTGTAGTTCACAAGACATGGTTCTCAGCTAAGCCCACTCTTCCGTTTTAAAATGTGATTTTGTTTGAAAAATGCTGAAAAGACAAATTGTCTCTAATAATCACAACATTAAAAATCACATAAAGTGATCATCTCCTTTTTCTTAGATAAGTCCCTTTAACATCTCATCTAATAAGGGTTTGGTGATGATGACCTTGGTTAACTTGACCTTATCTGAGAAGAAGATAAAAAATATGAACAGTAAAATGACAACAAAAACTCACAACTATCAACACCCAAACCTAAAAACACAAAACAAAAACAAACTAAGGAAACAACTAGAGCAGGAACAGAATCACGGAAGTGGAGACCAGAAGGAGGGTTATCAGTGGGGAGGTGGAGGGGAGAGAACAGGGGAAAAGGTACAGGGAAGAAGAAGCATAAACAGCAGGTACAAAATAGGGGGAGGTTGAGGACAGTATAGGAAATGGAGAAGCCGAAGAACTTACATGTACGATGCATGGACGTGAGCTAGGCGGCAGGGAGAATGCTGGTGGGAGGGGGCGTGTAGGGCAGAGGGGAATAAAGGGGAGGAAAATAGGACAACTGTAATAGCATAATCAATAAAATATATTAAAAATATATATTTAAAAATGAAAAAAGTTACATAAAGTGAGAAGTAAAAGTCTCCCTAGTGACTTCCTCTAATCCCTAGATTAGAATGATGGATATCATTCCTGACTTCTTCCCTTGTTTATACAGATATATCTATGCACACTTATCACACTCCCTCCTATGGAATCAATCATGTGGCACATTTATTCATTCATTCAACAAATATTTATTGAATGCCTACTGTATGCCATGCACCTTCCAAGCTACTAAGCATCCAACACCAAACGAGAGCTTATATTCTAGAAGGACGACACAGACAATGAGCACAAGAACGAACACGGTAATTTCAAATAAAGATAGGACCTAGGAGGAAAATGAAAAAACGAAGAGTACAGTTGTGATAAGAGAGACTGGGGAGGCTCCTGAGACTGGGAGGTCAGGGGTGGCTTCTCTTGTGGAGGGAGTGGTGTGAGTTGAGACTTGAGTGACCTTGAGATGCTAGAGGTCATGAGCTGGAGCTCAAGCCTTTCAGGCAGAGAACAATGAAAAGATAAGACCCTAGAATGTAAACAGGGACAGAAGAACCACCAGGGTGTCTGGAGCTTAGTGAATGGGCATGAGGAGGAGGATTCTAAGGGATGAGCCTGGAGAGGTGAGTAGAGACCAGTCTAGGAAGGGCATCACAGATCAGAACTTGAGGTTGTTTTCCCTAAGTTCAAAGGTAAGCCATGGAAGGAGTTTAAGGACAAGAATGACTGTGGCTGCTCTCCGAGAATGGAGGGTAGGTGAGCAGAGGAGGAAGCAGAGGGACTCATTAGGAGACGATCACATTAGGGCACGTGGGAGCAGATAGCTCCTGGGACAGACTGTGGCAAAGGAGACAGAGAGCAGTGAGCGCATTGGCAAATGTCCTGGGGACAGAGTGGAGACCTGCCAATGACCAGATGTGAATGGCAAGTAAGGGGGTTAAGCATGGGTCATCTAGAATTTTAAGTTAACAACTAAGCCTACAAATGTGTCATTCACGGATATGAAGGCTGAGAGGGGAATCAATCCGGGGGAAGGGGGAGACCAAGACTTCTGTTTTGACCACATCAACTGGAGAGGAGTGTTATCCACCCCAATAAAGACACCAAGTAGGAAGGTGGCAGCTCCATGGGAAAGTCGGGGATGGAGGTAAAAACTCGCTGTTCTTGGTTGTCACGGAGTTGGATGAAATCAGGCTGAGTGTGCAGGTAATTAGAGAGTAAATAAGACAAAGGCAAAGGCAGAGCCTTGGGGGTATCTCAACATTTAAAGATCAAGAGAGGAGAAGGTGCCACAAAGGAGGAGAAGAAAAGATAGCCTTCAGAATTTCAGAGTGGGATTACCGGATTAGAGATTTGTCTTAAAATGTTAATAATCACTCCCAAATCATCCTACCAAGAGTGATGATATCAACTTACACTCTCACAACACATTTATAAACCCACTGGTTTCCATGAATGTCACCAGCCCTGGCTATGATCACATTATTCATTCATTTATTTATCTGTGCCCATCTGAAAAGAAGATAGTGTTTGGTTGTTTTAAGTTGTGTGTTCTTCATTACAAGTTGATCTAAACATCTTTTCTAACGTTTATTGGTTATTTGCACCTATTACCGTAAGAGGGAGCAGAGAGCGTCACCCACCACAAAATTATGCCTTTTAGGCATCAGCATTGCCTGAGGATGATTATTTTAAAAACCAGCAGAGCAGAATAAGCCCTGAAAACTGAGAAGTTACCTTTTTGTAAGGGACATTTACATTTTTATGGGAAAATCTCTGTACCAGAGAAGGATGACTACCAGTAAATCTCAATGGAAACGGTAACTCAGACCTGCATGACAGCCTTCCCCTTGACTACGGAGCCTTTCCTGATGACCCCCCATGCCTGGCCTCCCACGGTCTTTAGCTGGAGATGGTATTTAAGGGGCTGACGTGTGCCATTTGGGGGCCTTAGTTTTCCTGAGTATTTCCCATGTATATAGGAGGAGTACCTGTTATTCAACTTCTGTTTTTCTCCCGTTCATCTCTCTTTCATTACAGGAGCATGTCAGCCGAGATCGTGGAAGGGCGGAGGTAAAATTATCTCCCTCCCCGAAGCCCTCTCCAGAGCCCACCACCCGCGTACCACGAGCCCCATTTAAGCCGGTCCCCCAGGTGCCTCTGCTTCACTCTTTATGTTGTGCAGTTGCCACAGCCCCACTTAAACTTTGGTGTCTCATCTTGGAAATTCGAGCCTGTAACTATGCCCAGAACTACTTCGGGAACTACAAAGAACAGCGAAGGGAAGTCTAGGCTGCTCCCCAGATCTTCTGAGCCAGACCGTTGGGCGGTCTGTGTACCGAGAATCAGGCCCAGCACTGTGCGCCTGCCTGGGACTCGTGGCTTCTCCTTGCAGTTCTCCCTCCTGGGAGGCACTGCTTTCCCACCCACTGAGTAACTTAAAGGTACACTTGCTTATGGAATGCTCTCTTGTAAAATGTACCACCGGGCAGCCCCAATCTACACTCCAGGGCAGGATTGAGACTCAAACACTTTAAGAACCAGCTGTTCAAAGTCACCAACTCATCAGACTAGACAACAGGCTTAGCCCTAGAGGGGGAGCCTGAAGCCCTCCCTTGGATTCTTGGCTCCAGTTTTTCCTTCTGGATCACAGGGGCATGGCGGGGGCCTCAGGGAGCCTGGAGCGGTGGCCGTTTGCCAGCAGAACTTCAGTACCCTGACCACCAGTCGGGCTGCACTGCTGCCGCTGTCTGAGCAGCACGTTGGTCTGCGATGCCCCAACCATCGGCCCCAGACACTGGAGGGGTTCAGAACAACTCACCCCAAGGTCTGTCTGGATGGTATGCAGGTTATTTTGACCTAAGGGCAATCAAGATCCTCTGGGCTCACGGGGAGCTTAACGACCTAGAAGAATGTAAATTAGGGGCCTGGCCCACAGTAAGAGTTATTACCAAACATAAGTTTTTATGACCTATAGGGTAGGGAAAACTTCTAATTATTGAACAGTTGCTCTCCTTACTGTTCTACAAATGACCTTCCACCTGTCGAAAGCCACAAGGCGTCTCACCGCGTCCTAAACTCAGAGTGCCATGTACTCCTCTTTTTAACCTTTGGTCCTTCAATCTTTCGTGTGTGTGGGGGTTCCCATGCATAGGTAGGTAATTGAATTTGGTTGTTTTCTCTTGATAATCTATCTCATGTAAATTCAGTTATTAGATCAGCTGGAAAAACCAAGGGGGATCGAGGAAAACTTCTTCCTCCCCCAGAAGATCTCAAAAGAGTGTAGGAGCATGAAACACTTCTATTTTTTTTCTGTTTACAAAAGAAAAACAAGTCATCAAAGAAAAACTAGAAAATAAAAGTGTTCAGAAGAAAATGAAAAGTTTCCATAAGCCTATATCTATCAGAAATAATTACTACTAATATTTCTGATAATTATGTCAATATTTTCCTATATACTTTTTTTACCTAATTGAGGTTATACTGTATATTCTATTTTGTATATAAATATAAATATTTTCAGTAACATAAGCACTTCATCAATTCTGGTGGTGATTTCTGAAGGGCTATATCCATTCCAGATACATTTGTTTTATAAAAAGAGGAAATTTGCCAATATTTTCAAGTCCAGGAAATGGGACAAGAACACAGTCTGGGTGTCTTGGAGATTCGCCGGACCTGCTGACTGACTTTTTGCTAACAATTGACCATGCTGATGGCTTTAACCTTGTTTTCCATGTTAAGATTCTATCCTTTCAACCTGTGGCTAAATCTTTTCCCCATAAGCAATGCTGTGAAAATTGTGGGCATGGGGAAGACCCACAGAGGGGTACATGTGGACTGTTTCATGTCAAGGTCCACAGAACAACTGCCCTGTGGAAAGAGCTGCAGTATCTGTAAACCTGAGTGACGCCTACAGGAAGGAATGGCGGGAGGTGACTCAGGAGGAAAGAGCAGGTACAGTGCGAATCGGCGCACTCAGCTTACAGCACTTCGCCAGCCTCTGACCACGGCGATGCACACACAGAGGAAGATGATCAAGGCACGATGCAGGAAGAGTCGGTGGGATAAATCCTAATCCATCAGGAAAAGGAAACATGATCCATCCATCTTGAAAAGGTTAACCAGGAAAACAAACTTAGCTAATTTGATAATTGTTTGTTAATTAGGACAAACAATGACAAGGACACAGCACTGGGTCTGATGACAGCAGCCCCCCAGCAGGGTATAAAAGGGGACCTGGGCAAGCAGACTTCCAAACCTTCCAAACCCACCTTCCTGGAAACTCACTCAGAACCTCCACTCTCAGACACCATGGTCAACTCCCGTTGTGGATCCGTCTGCTCTGACCAGGGCTGTGGCCAGGAGACCTGCTGCCGCCCCAGCTGCTGCCAGACCACCTGTTGCCGCCCCACCTGCTGTGTGTCCAGCTGCTGTCGCCCCTCTTGCTGTGGCTCCAGCTGCTGCAGGCCTACCTGTTGCACCTCTAGCTGCTGCCGCCCCACCTGCTGTGTGTCTAGCTGTTGCCGCCCCTCTTGCTGTGGCTCCAGCTGCTGTGGCTCCAGCTGCTGCCGCCCCACCTGCTGCATTTCTAGTTGCTGCCGCCCCTCTTGCTGTGGCTCCAGCTGCTGTGGCTCCAGCTGCTGCCGCCCTACCTGCTGCATTTCTAGCTGCTGCCGCCCCTCCTGCTGTGGCTCCAGCTGCTGTGGCTCCAGCTGCTGCAGGCCTGCCTGCTGCATCTCTAGCTGCTGCCGCCCCAGCTGCTGCCAGACTCCCTGCTGCCGCCCCACCTGCTGTGTGTCTAGCTGCTGCCGCCCCTCTTGCTGCAGCTCCAGCTGCTGCAGGCCCACCTGCTGCATCTCTAGCTGCTGCCGCCCCGGCTGCTGCCAGACCACCTGTTGCCGCCCAGTGTGTTCTAGCAGTTCCTGCTGCTGATTGCCCTGACCTGCGCCCAACCTGGTTTTTGTCAACCCACCTTCTTAATGTCGTCCAGCTGAAATGAGTCATGAGAGGCCAATTGTAAAACCTCAGGTCTGACTGATTCTTAAGCTGATTTTGCCTTCTGAATATACTGCCCCCGCCCCGACCATGTTACTCTCTCTCTCCCAAATGAACACAAAGTTTGAATTTTCTCTGAAATCTTTCAACCAATATATCATCCCCATTGCTATATTTCTTCCCTGCCAGATTTTCTCATGTGAACTCAATCTTAAATCTTAAATAAATCTTAATTTTCCAAGCATACAAGAGCCTTGTGTCTGATGGTTATTCCTTCTGGACTCAGCATCCTCAGCTGTCCGTTGTTCCACTGCTCTCTGCAGAGAGGAGACTGCAGAAATCCTGATGTCAGGATTTCTAACTGTACTCTCTTATCATCCTTATTTATAATAATGAGATGGCTTCTTTTTTTAAGATTTTATTTATTTATTTTTAGAGAGGGAAGGGGGAACGAAAGATAGAGAGAGAAACATCAATGAATGTGCGGTTGCTGGGGGCCGTGGCCTGCAACCCAGGCATGTACCCTGACTGGGAATCGAACCTACGACAATTTGGTTCACAGCCTGCACTCAATCCACTGAGCTATGCCAGCCAGGGCTATGAGATGGCTTCTTACTCCCAGAATTCTCTGCTTGAGCCCTTCCTGGGGGTGAAGGCACCAGCTCTGTGCTGGCCAGGGAGTTCAGTTCTGCAGGAGCTCTGCCTAAGCAGTGGATGGGCAGGGTCGACACTTGCCCCTCGAGTCGGGGCCCATCTCCAGTGGCCTCAGGGGAATGAACCCCAGCTGCCGCCAGGAGTAATTTCCTCATTACCTCATTCTCTATTGGCTTCCATCAGTTCGCTGGGCCACTCCCCCCATTCTCTGCAGTGCTTCTTAGTATTCTCTGCCTCATAAACTATTCGACTTGAATCCCCTGTTTTGGGGTCTGCTCCTGAGGGCACTCCACCTAAGACACCAGTGTTCCAAATCTCACTACCAGTGCCCTCAAAACATCTTTCATGTATTATGAATGGTTGCCATGCGGTCACGGTCCAGCGTTGAATTATTGCCCGTTGAACCACTACATCTTTTCAACATTCGCTCTTTCTCCTTGCCATTTTTTACGCAACTGTTTTTAGACGAGTGGTCTTCACTTGTGTGTCTCAGTTCATCATGTCCAAGAGGGAGGGCACACCCACAGGTAACGCAGCTCACCATGTTGGCACCTCCCACCCTAAAGGGGCTGTGTTTATGGGGGACCCCCCCAACCTGTCTGTCTCATGTTGGGTTATTAAAAGCAGAGCTCGGTACGAGGGCTCTTGCCCAGGTGATGTATGTACCGGGAAGTGCTCTCAGGAGAAATTGGTAAGAAATGGAGGGAAGCAGGACGGGAGAGTGAAAGAAGAGAAGCCAGACCACAGCTGCAGTGGAATTTTAAGATCAGCTGACCCCATGGATTAGTGGTGTAAACAGTACCACAGACTGCCGCCCCCCCACCCCCCGGAGGCAAGGTGGCTGGGACTTTGTACTCCTGCTTCGGTTCTCACTGGCTCTGGCCCACCCTGAGGGGGAGAAGGGGTGGAGGGCCACAGCGTGAGGGGTGCAGGCTCCTTCAGGTGAAAACAGTGACCTGGAGAACACGCGGTTGAGCAGTGTTAGCTGTACTCACACGAGCCCATACTCACACTAGCTCGGGGATGTGGTGCTTTATGGCAAAAGGGATCTGGATGGGGTGTCATATAGTCTCCCCCAAACACTGTTCAGGTCCATGTATCTTTCCACTAAGCTCAGTCCAATTGGTCAGTTCCAATTGCTTTAGAAACTTACAAGAGGAGAGTTTGTGGGCAGCACCCCTCCCGTTCTAGCTGGCTTGCCAGGGGGAGGGACCAAATCCTTGTCCCTAAGGATTCTGATCCTTCGTTACTATGTCCTCATCTGCCGCAGCTGTTATACTTGTCCCAAATCAGTTAAAACTGGAAATAGAAATACCAAGAATGCCCTCAGTGCTAAACGTACCCTCCTTGACCTCAGGGCTCCTTCCTTCGCCTGCTGATACCCTGGTGCTGCAAGCTCAAAGGAGCTAGGTGGCTGTCATAGCTTAAAGTCCAGTCAGACCTTCACTGTGTCTCTTTAGAGGCAGATCTTTGCTGTTAGAGAGAGCTAAGACATCTAGATGCACAGAGCCTACAGTTACGGGGGAGGAAGGCATAGATTCCCCACAGTGGACCACTGTGAGGACTGGATCACAGGTGAGGATGAGGAGGGCAACTCCTCCTTCAGCTCCTCAATTCCTCCCTGGGTTTCTGGATGAATGTGTTGTACCAAGGGACCATGTTAGCATTTGGGTATTTGTCCTTGTAAACTAAGACCCTGTATCCAACTGCATCCGAATATAGGGGTAGGCCAGTTTCCCCTGAGGAAGTGGCTGTAGGTTCCTTTGGGAAAGGACTGGAGAGAGAACTACTTTATACACTTCGGTGGTCCCTTGTCTTGGAGGACTGGCCTGTTTGGTGGGTCCATGGTTTGGGGGTGTGAGAGCTGGCTCAGATCTGGAACTCGGGTGCGGGGTCATGATTTTCCACTGGGATCACTGACCTCAGCCTTTTGCTCATTATTAAGTGCTTTTACACACACACACACACACACACACACACACACACACACGGTACCCACTCCCCTCCAAAACCGGAATTTATTTACAAAAGAGTTGTGTATTTATTCTTACATGCTTCAACTTCAGTCACCTCAAAAGTACTCTCCATTTGACGCCATACACCTATTGAGACCTTTTTGTTCACTGTTCAAAAACAGTTTTTGAACTTGTAGATCTTGGTGCCTTTTAGTGCTTCTGCCATTTTTTGTTTCACCTCTTCCATATCAGTAAAACACTTCCCTTTGAGGACTTTTTTCATCCAGAAACAACAAAAAAAGTCACTTGGAGTGAGATCTGGTGAATAACGGAGGGTGGGGAATGGGGGTCAGGCCATTTTGTGCTAAAAATTGCTGAACACTCAGCACGGTGTGGATGGGCGTGCTAGTAAATCACCCATCATGAAATGGGCAAAAAAAATTCACTGAAGCCGAATGCAGCCTCTCTCAACAGCACCAGTTGGTGCACTGATGCAGATGGGTTCCTAAAACACTTGTGAAGTGGAGGAAGCCTGTGTTACAAGGGGCCCACCCTCCAGAAGATAATTCTGGTTTGGGGGGGTGATCCCCCCTTGTGTACAAAGCTGCGTCCTCATTAGCTGTGTATACCCTTTTTCTGAGGGACACCAAGCTCTATTGTCTATATTGATAGGTCACTGTGGCTCACACAGCACTCTGCCCTGGTGGTCACTCCTAAGTTGCTACTCATCACACACGTAATTTGGGGATATTATCATCCCTACTATTTCTGTGGAGCAAAGTTCTGTGACAATATTTTCTATCGTAAGCGTCAACTTTAAATAGTCACTACTGAATTTCTCAGCATGCTGTGACTCCCCTACCCGTTCATGCCTTATTATGTCAGTACACAGTGTACCCCTGAGTCCTCTTATAGAATATGGTGGGTTGGATTTTCTGGCCTTAGGCCTATATCTATTCTACCATCTCCACTTCTCTGCGCCTTTTGATCCCGTCCTTCTCACCTGTGTGTTGTGTGGCATAAGATAAAACAAAATGGTCACAAATACTAAAAGGTGATGAAGTGAAGGGTATGCAAGTAAAAGCATATTCCCTTTCACCAACAATTAACCTTATTTCACATTTTACTTTGAAATAACTGTAGTTGCACAGAAAGCGGTAAAACAGTTCAGCCACATCCTGCATACCTTTCACCCAGTTTCCCCCACTGGTCACATCTTATTTAGGGTACATGGCAAAACTCAGAGATTTACATTAGTACACACCACAGATCTCGTTTGGCATTTACCAGTTTCACATGCATGAGTGTATGTGTGCATGTGTGTGTGTGTGCAGTTAGTTCTATGCAATAAAATCATGCGTCCTGTAAAGATTTGAGTAACCACCATCACACTTAAGATCCAGAACTGTCCTTCTCCATGAGGCTTCTCCTCTGGAGCCACAGCCACCCCCTCCCACTCATCATCCAGACCCTGGGCCACCACTGCTCTGCTCTCCATCCCTACAGCTGTATTTCCAGCGTGTCCTACGAATGGGATCCTACAGTGTGCAACCTTCGGCGACTGGCTTTTTCCCCTGGGGATCATTTCCCGGAGATCACACGGGCTATTCGGTGTGCCAACAGCTGTCCCATGTGCTGGGCGTACAGAGTTTGGTTTGTTCTACCACTCACCTGTAAAGGATACCTTAACTGTTTCAAGTTCAAATTTGTTTATTTGTTCTTTCATTCACTCATTCATTCATTTCCATGGGAAAATGTTTTGAGGTTTCCTGCTTGCAGGCGAACACTGCCACTTTTCAGTTGCAAGACATGTTGTCTAATTTGAATACTGTTGGGTTTAGGAAATGTGTATCTGTTTTATTTATCTCCTGTTCCTTGTGGCTTTTTAAAAGTTTCATTATAAGCCCATTTATTTTCTTCTGGGACTAAAGGGTTCTGATAGTTTAGTCTTTCTTGCAAGAGAACCACTTTTCTACTGAGAATTAAAATACCACTTTTTTTTATAATTATCAGTTTATGTCTTAGTTAATTTCTGAAAGGAAGACAGGCTTGCAGTGGGTAAATATTTGCTAGAAATATAGAAATATGGGTTGTATATATATATATATATATCCCTGCAGCCTACTATGTTCAAGATTTAGGAGACATGATAAATTTAGCATTGACCTGGAAATACAGCTGGAGAGAAAAATAATTTTTCTGAAGTTCTATAGCACTTTCTCAGGTCATAACCTACCTCGGCAGAAGGACCTCTTCAGCACACGTGGCTGGGCATTGTACTTTGGATTCTTTCTGCTTTGGATGACCACAAAGGGACATTTATGATAAAGTCGATACTTTTAAAAATTGTGATTTTACATGACTAATCCTGAGAACAACTACCGATTCTAAAATAAAATCATGAACATAAATAGGAGGAAAAGAAAAAAATAGTCAAGTAAAGGGAACTTCAATACACAGTCGTAAATGTACGGATTTGTAGGACCGAGAATCACATTCGAGACCCTCCCACCCAGGAGGAGCATTCGCACAGTGAGGCGTGTCCCCACGTAGACTCCAAAATCGACCTTAAAGAGTATAGGAATTAAGGAGACTAAAATTTCAGTTTAAAATCACTGTGGAAAGAAAAGACTATTATAAACATCAATAGGAAAGCTACTTAACTTCTGGATAAAGAAAGGAGAGAGCTAATAATGCATTCACTAAACCAAAACCAATTCCATTTGGGTGAAAAACTCAACATAAAAACGAAACTGTTTATGTACTAGAAGGAATCATGAGGCATTTAGAAACACAGTTTTAAGCCAATCCTAAGAAACACACACTATGAAAACCATGCATAGTAAATTAATATAAATAAAAACGGTCTCTACGGAGTTATCAGTAGTACTCAGTCATCAGGGTTCCTTGGAGACGCTCTTTCTCCAGAAGAAAAGGTCTAATGGAATTCTCAGAGTTGTTTCAGACTCCATAATGAGGCTCTCACAACGACTTGAAATCTGCTTTTGTTCCCTCGTCTTTCCATGACTCGGGAAGAGGCTCAGGACATTTCCAGGGCAACGCTGTACCTGGGCTCACCGGAGCTATGACAAGGCCCGCAGCCATGCCTCCCAGCAGGAGCCAATCAGCAGCCTGAGTTGTTATCCTGTTTGTGCCTCCAAAAATTCGAGCCAGGGCAGAAGTGAAAATTGGCCCCCCAAAAAACCACGAGGAGTATGGTTTATTAGACTTATACGTCATTTAAGGTACAAAGGAACCCTCACCCATTTTATTCAATCTCCTCTGTCTGGGTTTTGATTCTTCCTCTGTGACACTGGCTTATATTAAATCCCTCCACTGACCATCTATGTAGCTGCCATTCCATAAACCACATTCCCCATGGTGACTCAGATGAGATCCTACGAGACACCCACTCACCCAGCACCAGCCCATTACAGTAATTTAGGGCAAGCCAACCTCTCACATACAGTGATCATCTGACCAGCTGACTAGCATCTCAAAAAATGAGGGGTGCTGACAGATCATCCGCTGGCCCCTCTATACATTTTCCCCCTGGGAGTCAAGGAAAGTCAGGGAGAAAGGGACACTACCTTAAAATCTGTGTTTGTAGCATGTTCTGCCAGACGGGCATGACTTTCAACGTCAGGATGGTTTCCGGGAGCCATTCCTGTCTGGGACTGGTCATCCTGAGAACGGCCAAGGGCATCTCAGCTTGGCTGAGAGTCTTCTCGTAACATGTAGGAATGAGAAATAAAATACACGAGTCTTGCCCTCAAAATATTTGGAGGCCATACAGTTAGGGGAGACTGAATATGCGGCACGAGAGAATCGAGATCCGAAAAGCTCTAGGCATCCTTGCAGGAGACACCAGATCTCACAGGATGAACCGCCGGAGCCTCGCTAGACCCAGATGGGTAGTTATCCATGTACATGGCGCGTACGTGAGTTTAGGGAGCTGTGCACATATTTAAATTACTTGGAAGAACTGATCTGAACCACCCACGTACCCTGACGTATTCCCTCTCAGCACCTCCTCCCCAGGCACACCATCCTTAAAGGGGCCCGCTTTCTCCGGGTGTCAGGCAGAAGGGGAGGGTGAGAACTGCTGGTCTGGGTCTGTCCGCTGTAAGTCTATGAGAAAGGCTGAAGCTGCGATGAAAAAGACCAGCGGATGTTTTTACACAGTATTAACTTCAGCATAAGTCACACTCGCTGCCAATCATTGCCATTGAACTATAAATGCCAACAACACTGATACATCGATGAAAGTGTATGTTACTCAGCCGTAAATAAATCCCTCCATTCGCGACAACATAAATGGATCTGGAAGACACTATGCTAAATGGAATCAGTCACAGAAACACAAATGCTGCGTGATTCCACTCGCTGAGTCACACCTTGGTACTCGTCGGCTTCAGAACTCATCGAACCCTGTCCTCGTCACATTTTGATGAGAAATAACTGTCTCAGCACTCAGCGCTTGCTCGGGACACATCACACGTGCTGGGACTTGCATGAGTCATGACACTGCACCTCCTCCCAACCAAGGGAAAAAGCTTCATTGTTAGGTATTCATTGGTTTGGGCACTCCTCACGAGTTCCAGAATGAATGAACCACGAGTACCGAGGTACCACTTGTAGTCAAGTTCACAGAAGCAGAGAATAAAATGGTGGTTTGAGGAACTGGGGGAAGAAACACACGGGCAGTGGTGGTTCGCTGGGTATAAAGCTAAAGATACACACGATGAACAGATTTTAGAAATCTGCCCTGCATCAATCACCGTGCCTGTGGCGTTAGCAATAACAGTATGATGCAACTTAAACACTTGTTACGAGGGGAGACCTCATGCTAAGTGTCGTTAACACACACACAACGCAGGCGACACCAGAACTCCGTAGTGGTGATGAATAGGTTTAAGCCTTAATTACGGAAACAGTACCACAGTGCATGCACAAGTCCAGACTCATCCAAGTGGAGGCAGTAGACATGTGCAACCTTTTGTAGACTGAGGTACCTCCGTAAAGCTGAGGGGAAAGAAGAAACACGTATTTTTCCAGCTCAGAATAAGATATTTGTCTCCCACCTGAAAGTCTAGAACATGGGCCGAGATGCGCAATGGGGAGGGAAAAGCCCTAAGAGCCTTATGTTCAGGCCAGTGATGCCCAGGTTCACATTCAAAACTTCTCTGCCCACCTGACCCACAACGAACGAGCCATCAAATTAAAATGCAGCTTATTAGAATATTTGTCACCCAAGGGGAGACGTGCTGTGCTGTGCAACGTGAGACTAACACACACACTTTCTAAAGGCGTAAACATGTGACAGCTGTCTCTGAGGAGCTGAAGCAAGAGAGACAAGTAAGAGGTGATTCAGGAGGAGCTCAGGCAATGAATCCCAACCTGTCAGGAAAAGTAAACAATGCTTTCTACCTATCTTGAAAAGGTCAACCAGGAAAACAAACTTGATAATTGCTTGTTAATTAGGACAAACAATGACAAGGACACAGCACTGGGTCTGATGACAGCAGCCCCCCAGCAGGGTATAAAAGGGGACCTGGACAAGCAGACTTCCAAACCTTCCAAACCCACCTTCCTGGAAACTCACTCAGAACCTCCACTCTCAGACACCATGGTCAGCTCCCGTTGTGGATCCGTCTGCTCTGACCAGGGCTGTGGCCAGGAGACCTGCTGCCGCCCCAGCTGCTGCCAGACCACCTGTTGCCAGACCACCTGCTGCCGCCCCACCTGCTGTGTGTCTAGCTGCTGCCGCCCCTCTTGCTGTGGCTCCAGCTGCTGTGGCTCCAGCTGCTGCAGACCTACCTGTGGCATCTCTAGCTGCTGCCGCCCCACCTGTGGCATCTCTAGCTGCTGCCGCCCCACCTGCTGCCAGACCACCTGCTGCCGCCCCACCTGCTGCATTTCTACTTGCTGCCGCCCCTCTTGCTGTGGCTCCAGCTGCTGCGGCTCCAGCTGCTGCAGGCCCACCTCTGGCATCTCTAGCTGCTGCCGCCCCACCTGCTGCCAGACCACCTGCTGCCGCCCCACCTGCTGTGTGTCTAGCTGCTGCCGCCCCTCTTGCTGTGGCTCCAGCTGCTGTGGCTCCAGCTGCTGCAGGCCAACCTGTGGCATCTCTAGCTGCTGCCGCCCCACCTGCTGTCAGACCACCTGCTGCCAGACCACCTGCTGCCGCCCAGTCTGTTCTAGTGGTTCCTGCTGCTGATTGCCCTGACCTGCGCCCACCTGGTTTTTGTCAACCCATCTTCTTAATGTCGTCCAACTGAAATGAGTCATGAGAGGCCAATTGTGAAATCTCAGGTCCGACTGATTCATAAACTGATTTTGGCTTCTAAATATACTGCCACCCCCACTATGTTACTGTCTCTCTCCTACATGAAAAAGAAAGTTTGAATTTTCTCTGAAATTCTTCAATCAATTTGTTATTCCAATTGACATATTTCTTCCCTGTCAGATTTTGTCATAGGAGATGTTCCTAAATCTTAAATAAATCTTAATTTTCCAGGCATGCAAGTACAAAAGCATTGTGTCTCATTTTTCCTTCTGGAATCCTCATCCTTATGTGTCCATTGTTCTGCTGTTCTCTGCAGAGAGCAGAGTTTAGTAGGAGATTTCAGGACTTCTAACTCTATTCCCACATCATCCTCATGTTATTATAGAGAGAGGGCTTCTCCCAGCAGGCACCTGTACCTCCCTGCCTGAGCACTCTCTCTGGATCAAGGAGCAGACTCTGGGCAGCCCACGGGTCAGAGTTAATGTCTCAGGAGCACTGCCCAACCAGTGGACCAGAAGTTCTGGTCAGCGCTGTAGCTTCCTTTCCTCCAGGGGCGGCATGCTGTTCCAGTCGCCGGAGGTCCGCAGTGGGATTGAACCCCAGCTGTCTGTAGGAGTAACATGCTCATTAGATCACTTACACTGTGGATCGAGAATCCAGAAACAGCTCCGAGGGCCTCTCTGTTTCATCATCTTTTCACAACGCTGAAATCAAGGGGTTAACGGGCACTGGCATCTCATCCAAAGTCTTGACTGAGGGAGAATCCAACTCCAAGTTCATTCACGTGGTTGTTGACAGGATTCAGTTCCTTGAGGACCTTTAGAGCCACAACCTCAGTTCCTTGCTGCTGTCACATGGAGACTATTCTCCGTGCTTTGCCACATAGGTGTGTATCTCTGCCACACACGTGTATCTCTGCCACACAGCTGCTTACTTCATCAAAGCCAGTGAGGGAGAGAGAAAGCTGGCTAACAAGAAGCAAGCCACAGTCTTTCATAACTTAATCACTTGGTGAACACCACGAGCTCCAGGGGGCAGAAATCACTGGGCCATCTGGCGGCTGCCTGCAACGACTCATACATAATACTGAGTGGAAGAATAAAAGCACACGATGCCTATATTAAGATTCCACTCACATAAAATTCAAAACCATGTAGAACTAAACCATATTGTTTAGGATGCATAACTCGGTGATGAAACTATAAAACAAATCAGTGAAAAGGTTACTTTAGAAGTCAGGACAGTGATTACCTGTAGGGTGGAAGGAGAGAGATGGGGTCGAGAGAAGACACATCGAGGGCCCTGCTGGAGAGAGCGACGCTCTGGTTCTCGGCGAGGGTGTTGGGATACACAGATGTCTGCTTCATAATGATTTACATTGTATTATGCATGCATAGTTTATACGCTTCTCAGTATACGATAGTCCCCTCTCGAATCCCAGGTTTTGCTTGTGGTAGTTTTAGTTATTCCCAGTCAACCATGGTCTAAAAATAGCAAATGGAAAATTCCAGAACACAATGTGTAAGTTCTAATTGCACGCCATTCTGAGTAGCAGGATGAAACCTTGTGCCGTCCCGCTCCATCCCACCTGGGTGGTGAGTCACCCCTTTGTCCAGCGTGTCTGCATTGTATCCGCCACCCACCCATGAGTCACTTAGTAGCTGCCTCAGTTGTCAGCTCAGCTGTCTTGCTATCGCACTGCTTGAGTGCAAGTCACCCGTGTTTACTTAATAAGGGCCCCGAAGCTCAGGGGCAGTGACGCTGGCCATTCTGATATGCCTGAGAGAAGCTGGAAAGTGCTTCCTTGCAGTGAAAGTTCTTAATAAGAAAAGAAAAAAAACCCTGAATGCTGAAGGAGCTAAGATCTATAGTAAGAGTGGATCATCTATCTATAAACTATGATGAAGAAAAAAGAAATTTGTGTTAGTCTGCTGAGAGACCCCATTCACATAACTTTTATCACAGTATAGTCTTATCGCTGTTCTATTTTATTATTAGTTATGTGTATTTATCTCTTCCTGTGCCAGTTTATAAATTAAACTTTATCAAAGATATGTATGTTTAGGGAAAAAGTAGTATATATGGGGTTCCTTACTACCCACGGTTTCTTAGGGTAAACTGAAATGCTTACTCTATTTAATATTTTAAAAGAAAGATTAAATTAAGCAGTATATGGGCATTTATATCATTTAAATATATTGCTCGACCTTCACATACACTAGTAAACATGAAATTATCACTCAGTCGCTATAACTCACTCAGCGGATTGCTAATGTGATATAGGCCAAACCTGATAATAAAAGCCGTTTTTCCTGCCATTCTTCAAACCACGTGTTAACATGCTGTGTCTGGTTTCCCTGGGAGACGCGAGCAGGGCCCTCGGCGGCGGCAGCTGCAAACATCGGGGGTGGGTCCACTTCATTGACATTTTCCGATGTTTGCCTAACTAGGGTCCTTCATTGTACAATTCCAAAGAGACAACAGAGAAACTGGTTTAAAAAGGAAAAAAGTATGCAAACGAAAAGTATTACATTCCATCTACTCTGTGTAGTGAAAGAGGTACAGTTTAGATATGACCGTATGTAAGTGGCGAGTGTGGTCCTGATGTTAATTATCAATTCTACTTCGCCAGGCTACGGGAAAAAAATTTTAGCAGGGAGTACACAGAGTGATGTTTCTCCTGAGTTTGGGTTTGATTTTTTAAGAACATCCAGTGTGCCGTCTATCGGAATTTCCCATTGCGGTCCACCCCCCATGGTCCCCCCACCATTAAAATGATCTAAAAGAGAAAAGAGATTACCAATGTTTCCGTGTGAAATGGCTCAAAGTTCAGTGTTTCAAGTTCAGGGTCATTTTTTCCTGCCATTTTAGATGTTACCAATTATATTTTAATATTTTAGTTACTTCTGTTCCTAACATTACACAAATGTTAACATTTGTGTTTAACATTACACAAATACATGTAATACAGGCCGTTGAAGGAGGTGGGTCTCAAACTTGGCTGCTCATTAAGAGTACCTGAGGAGTTGAAACGTTCTGAAACATTCTGACACCCGGGCCATCCACCAGACCAATGAAGTCAGGGTATTTGGGGGCAAGAGCGGGCCACCCGTATTTTTATCGCTCCCCCGTGATTCCGACGTGCCGCCAACTTTGCGAGTCACTGGTGGAGGGGCTGCGTCCTCCTCTACACGCTCCTCTGTAGTGAGAATATACTTCTGCCTCAGCAGCTGTTGTAGAAAGATTTTCTCAGTCTCCCTGAGTTTATATAGAAAACTCTCCCCTTGTTACCCAAACCGTTTTTCTATTATGTTGCTTTTGTCTCGGCATCCCCTAGACAGCAAATCAAGTGAAAAATCCCTCCGCCTTGGGACACCCTGTTGCCTCACAATATAATTGTTTCAATGTCTCCCATTCTCGAGCTCGGCCAATGCAAACCTGTCCAGTAAAAACACGTAAGTCAAGTTTTTGCTGAGCAACTTGCTGTAATAAGAATATTTCGAGGAGCTTGGTTTTAAATGGTCCTCATTAAGACATTTAAGGATGTCATCGGTGGGCGGCCAGCGTGCCTCTGTTTGCCCGGGACGTTCCCGATTTTAACACTGAGAGTCCTGAGTTCTGGGAACCCCTTCGGTCCTGAGCAAACAAGGCCATTGGTCTCCCTGCCATGACACTGACTGGTCACAGTTAAAATTAACCGTTGGCACTGTGTTAAGGCAGCTCTGAACGCGCTCATGACTCACACATGGCCATTAGCGATTCTCAGGAACATATGCCCAGCGAAAGGTGCCAGAGAGAAAAGAAATTATACTACAACTTCTGTTTGAAGTTCTAGACTAAAGCTAGTCTACGGTGAAAAATATTTAGAGAGAGAGAGAGAGAGACAGAGAGAGAGAGAGACAGAGAGAGAGAGAGAGAAAGACTTTCCAATAAACTGTAAATTCCCTAGGAGGAAACCCTCAATCACATTCGTAACCCCAACGACTGGCACGCTGTGTCTGCCAGATGGTCCTCTCCACAAACATGCTTTAAGAAGAGGCAGGAACGTGGCATGGGCTCGTCTTCCGAGTCTGAACGGGCGGAATAGGAGTCGCCTCTAAGTGTGGTCCCTGGACCCTCAGCAGCACCCTCACCCGGGTGCCTGTTGAAAGAGCAGAACCTCCAGCGTCACCCTGCAGCCGAGAACTCTGGGAGCCGTCCCACTATTTTTAATAAGCCCTCCAGGCGATGCTGATGCGCCCTCTGGTTGGATTACCACTAAATAAGGAAAAGTAGTAATTAGGTAAGGTTGAATCGACTAAAATCCATTCACGTTTCAAACGAATCCAAACAAACTGGCGCTGTGGATTTCCTGGCTCTGGAGATAACTTCTGAGGAGAGGCACACCCTGATTATTCAACATTTTATTGTTTTGCTATATTGAAAAATACTTTTAATTAAGAATGAGATAAAGAATAGAAAATGAGGCTATGTCTTCCAAAATCTAAGAGACCGGATGGAGAGATATGACGTAAAACATATGACAGCAATGTAACAACTTAGTGACCTATGGGAGGTTGCGGTCACAGGATCCCCGCAGACAAAGTGCCTGCCCGGGGTTCCAGGGCATAGACCATGACCACAAGTCTGAGACATCTGAGGAAGCCCGTTCAGGCAGCGCAGGAGTCACCAATGCCACACACACGCGCACGTGCGCGCGCGCGCGCGCACACACACACACACACACACACACACACACACACACAGGGGTGCCCTTCCTCAGTGCTCAAAACTGACCCCCGAGGGTCATTTTTCTCTGATCCCAGGCCAGGTGCCACGCTATGCAGATGGGATTCCCTCCATGTTAGTCACCAGAAGAAATGAACAACCAGAAATGCGTCTACCCAAATTCCATCTGCTGGGGGACACCGAGGGGGAGAGTAAAGAATGTAACACCCACCCCACACGAGGAAGGCAGGGAGAGCGTGGTCTGGAGGATGCCAGCAGGTACGAGTCAGGGGAAAGCAGAGCAGATGGAATCGATTGTATCTGGAAGAGACAATATTGTTTCCAACAAGTGTAAACCACTAAAAGGATCAACATTACTGTGTAATCTGATAATTACTTAATCTAGGTAAACAAAAACAAGGAAATGTGTGGACAACTCACCCTGTTCAGGTAGTATTTAAGGGGCCCAAGGACAAGGACATTCCCAAACTCAAGAACCTCACTCTCCTGGAAACCCACTCAGAACCTCTTCTCTCTGACACCATGGTCAGCTCCTGTTGTGGATCCGTCTGCTCCGGCCAGGGCTGTGGCCTAGGCTGCTGCCGCCCCAGCTGCTGCGTGTCCAGCTGCTGCCGCCCCACCTGCTGCATTTCTAGCTGCTGCCGCCCCTCTTGCTGTGGCTCCAGCTGCTGCAGGCCCTCCTGCTGCATTTCTAGCTGCTGCCGCCCCTCTTGCTGTGGCTCCAGCTGCTGTGGCTCCAGCTGCTGCCGCCCCTCCTGCTGCATTTCTAGCTGCTGCCGCCCCTCTTGCTGTGGCTCCAGCTGCTGTGGTTCCAGCTGCTGCCGCCCCTGCTGCTGCCCCTCCTGCTGCCTCCGCCCACCCTGTGGCCAGGTGTGCTGCCACACCAACTGCTACCGCCCCACCTGTGTCATCTCCACCTGCCCCCGCCCCATGTGCTGCGCCGTCTCTGACTGCTGAGTCTTAGCCTATAATCTTTGTCACAATATGGCTGTCCTCCTAAGTTCTACAACATGTGCTGGAGTGACAGCCAGTGACTGGGGAATGAACTACTAGCTGCCAACTCTTCTGATTCGGCATTCAGAGTTGGTGTTCAGTATTAGGAAATGGGAAATCAAAACATGTTTGTCCAATGATTTTAACCCAGGCTCAGATGTACCTATTTTAAGACCAACAATGTCTCATCCTGAATGTGACAATCTCGTATAACATTGTTTCCATATGTTCTTAATAAACAGCTATTCCCCCTGATATTGAACTGTCCTGATTTGTTAAAGACTTGGTGTGTGTGTGTGCAGGTGTGTATATACCTATCACTTCTCACCAAGAAATGTTGCACCAAATGTAGGCCAGCAAGTTCAAGAGCAGTTACTTATGTCAGGGCCGAGATTCCACTGGGCATTCATTGCATGACAAGGGCAAAGTTATTTAATGTTTTCAAGCCTCCGTGTTTTTTTTCTCTTTGAAATGGGAATAATGCATTATGTTCTTCAAGGTTCAAAAGGCATAATCCATGTAATACACTTAGTACAGGGTAGGGAGCATAAGGTAAATTCTCAATAAATATAATTCTTATTGTTACTGTTATTGAAACACTACCTTGGTCTAGAATATGACCTTAGCATCATGTTCTCTTTGACAGAACGGCAAAGAAAGTTTGCACAAGTGTTTCACCACCCTCTATCACTCAAAATTAAGCTTTGGTATGTCTCAAATGTCCCTTAATAACCCCAGTGGGTTGAACATCATAAAGTCACCTAAACTTCATTTGGCTATATTTCTACTTCCAGTATGGTCCATTCCTGGTTGTGTAAATTTGGGTTGTCCTACTTAGCTCAAGTATTGTTTTTCTCCCTCCCTCCCTTTGCCCCTCCTTTCCTCTCCAAACAATACACTTTCTCTCAGAGGGCACACTAAGTGTACCCTCTAACTCCAGATTTCTGGAAAGGGATAAAGTCCCTGGCAACTTTTCCATGAGAATTTTAACTCTTTAATAATAGATGTTCAACATTTTAGTATTTCAAGACTGAACTCCTTCCTGGTGTTAGCCTCTCGTGTTACTGAAGTTTCCTGCCTTCTTGATGCTTGTTCTTACTTAAAAAGACATGCGCAGGATATTTCTTTGAAACTTAATTTTCTTACCACCAAACTCAGGTAGGAATGGCCCTCCTTTGCTGGGAAAACATGTCACAATATATACAATAATATCATTTTTAAAAAGTATTTATTTATTTATTTATTTTTAGAGAGGGAAGGGAGGGAGAAAGAGAGAGAGAGAGAGAAACATCAATGTGCAGTTGCTGGGGGCTGTGGCCTGCAACCCAGGCATGTGCCCTGGCTGGGAATCGAACCTGCGACACTTTGGTTCGCAGCCCATGCTCAATCCACTGAGCTACGCCAGCCAGGGCTAATAATATCATTTTTATACAAACATAAGAGCCCATAAATGTTGGTTCATAATCTGAAGTATATTAAAAATGTTTTAAATTCAAATTTCACATATATCGGAGTTATACATATTAGCTTTGTTATAATTCCATGTAATAAATGGAACTAAGAGTTGATTGTTATCTCTAAAAATTTCTTAGAGGTTCTAAAGCATCAAAAGACATGCCGAATAGAGGCTGATATAAAGTGGGCTTCACCCCATCAAAAGTTGAGTGTTACAGTCTCAGCATATTCCAGAAGTGTCTCACGGACACTTTCAGCTTCATGCTTTCCCCTTGCTCTCCCGCACTCTACAGAGGACAGCCTTGTCTTTCCACGTGCTAGGATGGACAAATTTTTCATCCTCCCATACGTCCTTCTTCGGTACTGCTAACTATAGCGTGCAGGCTCTGGTTTCAACACCGTGCTTTATAGGCTAGAGCTCAATCAAAGAACATAGGTTTTTATACTGCCTTTTCAGTTAAAGTATATAAAGCTCATGATTTCCTGTTTTTACAAGAATTGGCTCACGAAGGGAAGAGACAGCATGCTAAGTCTGGGGCAATAAAAGGACTATTTACAAAAGGCTAGCGAGAGTATACAGAAAGCAGCAAGGAATAGCTCAACACCCAGGGCTCATAACAGCAAGGGGCAGTTTCCCCTGGGCCTAAAGACCTGTGCAGTGGTTTGGGCAAATGAGCCAGAGAGCAGCACACAGAACTCTTAGGATTACCACCTGCAGGCACCCAGTGTACAGGGATCCCTACCAGGGAGCGTCACGGCGTTCTGAGTGGACCAAAGGTGACACTGGAGACACTGTGGTAGAGGGAGCCAAGGCAGAAATAGTTATGAGTGGGGAGGAGTGACTGCACCCATCAACTGTACCCGAATGCACAGCTGAGGTGGGTTTTAAGGAAGTGAAAATCTGGCTACGTTAAACGACCCTCTGGAACTTCTCACGCCCTTCGAGGTCCTGAGCCATATAGAACTCCGGAAGCACGAGGAGAGATGGCCGTTCCAACTAGGGAAATGGCTGAAGCAAGAGTTTTCACTCCCTTGAACTCCATGCAAAAGTCCTGTCTGGCCAGGGTGTGGGAGGACAGTTCGCAGGGGCTAACAGTGAACTTGGGGATTAAACAAAACCACTGCTCCAATGGCTTCGGCTGTAACTAATACATAAGAACTTTTGGTGGCCAACTTCGGGCGTCTCTGGGCCACACTGGAACAAGAAGAGCTCTCTTGGGCCACACATTAAACACATTGTGACATGTCATCACAAAAGAATCTCATAATGTTTTAAGTCAATTTACGATTTTGTGTTGGGCCGCATTCATAGTGCTTCTGAGCTGCATGCAGCCCGCGGGCCACAGGTTGGACACCCTGCTACAGGAAGTGCGGGAAGCCTTGCACACTGGTATGCCAGGGAAGACGTGGTCGATGCGTTCTTTATAATGTCACTCCCGGAGTCCAGCCAGGTGCAAACTTGCTTTCTAACGGCAGGGAACCCAGGATACATCTAACGTTTGGCTACACAGATACTTCAGCTGTGAGCACACTGCCATAATCTGGTGGGGTGCTCTTGGACTTGATAACTTCTAAGAGCAAGTTCATATTGAAGATTGTAGTACTACTGCATGAAAAACCATTAGTGAGTGAAAAAGTGAGTCCAGAAATAGACCAAATACATAAGGAAATATAGTATATGAAAATGTGGCATTTTAAATCCATTGGGGAAACATGTACAGTTTAAGAAATGGTGTTGGGCTATGGTCATATCAAATTTAAAAGCATTTAAACCTCATATCTCATAACTGTATAAAGTCCTAATAAATTAAACATTTGGATGTATTTAGATTGTGGTTATAATCTAAAGTGGTTTCTGACGCCATGGGTCTGTGGGTGGTTTCCTGCATCGCAGGAAGTATCTAAAGAGAAGACACACACGACCTATGGGAAACGCTGACATTTGAAAGTTAAAAAGGGAGCAACAGCTCCTTTGAAGTGATGATTCAATAACTTTTTTCTTCTACATCTATTAGTTGATATTCTACCATCTTAGATGGTACTTCCTCATCTTGCTTTTAAAATATTTTTTATTTCATTAGTCTCAGTAGGAACTTGTGGATTCTTATTTCATTTAATAAGTTGAAATCCATTACCGCCATTATTAATTTTGGTGCTTAAGCTGCTCCCTATTGAGCCAGTGAGAGTACCTTCAAGGTGGCTCCGAGTGACTTGTAGTGTCTAAGGACCCTGAGTCACTGGCAATGGTTTCAAAGCACGCACTGAGTGCATACTGTGAGGCAGCCAGGGAGTCCACTATTTAATGAGCATTCGTGTCTCACAGATGGGTTCTGTCTTCCTCATCGCATCATTGCAAAAACATGAGTCTTTTTCTTTCCATTCCCTATGGTGATTCTGCTTCTCTTTTAACATCAAAGACATCCTGGCATGATGAGAATAATTGGTCCAAACAGCACCCTGGAATGACACAGGGGTCACAGGTAAATACTAGTGGCTGAATCATGTGATGGGCCCGCTTCACAAACCAGGAAGTAGAAAAGATGGTTCTGAGAAAGACCAGACTGGAAACTCTTAACATACCAGGAAAAAGAAATCTAATTTTTCTTTATCTTAAAATCTTCAACCAGAAAAACATGACGATCTCATTCTAGACTGGTATTTCTTCAGAAAAATAAACTAGAAAATGGTCCAGGGCCTGGACCTAGTAGCATCAGCAGACTGCAAAAGAAGACATAGTGCAGAGAGACCTCCACATTCACCAAGCCTCACTCTTCTAATATCAAAACTCCGCCTTGGACACCATGGTCAACGCCTGTGGCGTACAAGGCTGGTGCTGCCCCAGCTGCTGTGTGTCCAGTTGCTGCTGCCCCTCTCACTGTGCCTCCTTTTGCTGCTGAGCCCCCTGCTCTGTAACCACCTTCTCCATTTACCTCTGTTTTCATGCATGTAGACCCTCTTTTTGTGCGGGCCGTTAGGATGCACGGAGTGGGGTTGATGTCGCTCCACTGAACTGGGCCCATAATTCCAGTGAGGTGCAGGTTGTACTGCAGAAGATGCGTATGGCCTGGAGCACTTACACAGCAACAGACTTCACCCTTCCACCGACAGCTGGGGAAATCATTCTCCTAACTTTCTCATTCTTGGACATTTTTGTACCCTGATGTGTTTTTGTACCACATTAAAGCTACACTTCCTTACATTAAAAATTCGGTGTCATTGTTACTGCCCTAAGATTCTGTCCTCAGTTCCCAGACAAGTGCATCTGACCTACACCTGCTGGATATACAACACGGTCATGCTGCTTCTCAATTAAAGTCTCCATTACCCATTCTCCTGTGTTACAGGCAAATCTCTTAACACTATGGATCTGTCCTGGGAACAGGACAAAAAAGTAAAAACTAGAAGTTTGGAGGACTCCGTGGGTATAAAAGCAGAGAGCACACAGTACATGGCCCAGGCATCACACCAGCTACACCTGTGCAACGTGCTGCTGGCCACAGCCCGCAGGT